GAGGGAAAAAAAGAAAGCTATTTCGTATGACAAGAAATTCATCTCATAACAAAGAGTCGGCGATCAAAACATAAATCTAATTTAAATCTATTTAGCGTTTCCGTCTCAAAGACCTTAGCCAGAATGTATTTCTGTGTGTCATTTATCTGAGCCGGAAAAGAGGCAGTAGAAAATACAGATCCTTTTTGTTTTACTTTAATCTGAGAAAGCAGACGAACAATTTCTAAACCGAAATCGAGAAACTTTCAGAGGGAGAACAATCATTCTTCGTATCGTGCTCTTTTATACGGGGCAAAACTTCCTGTCTCCTGCTTTTATACGACGCTCCCAAACTGTCCTCGTCTAGAAAAGATTTAAAGAATGACCTTCTTAGTTGTGACATTAGAATATTCCAATCTCGAGCTTAGAACAACAAGAAATTCTGTGTCCATTAATTTGCTTGGATTTCTGTCGTTGGACGTAGGGCTTTTTAGATACTTGTGCCTCAGCGATGAAGATGAATCTTTGTAAAAACGCCTAACCAGATAAAAGAAAGCTGTCTGCTTTATAAAATTCTTATTACTTCGTACAAGAGAAAGAAGAAATATGATAGCAAAATATTAAAATTTTGTCCAAAACTTAAACCGAATTTTTAAGTTTCAAAAATTAAAATCTAAAATGCACCCTTAGAAAGCACAGCAGCAATTGGCCGTTTTCCGCTCTCCGTGGAGATGCCCACCGATGACCAATTAGAAGGCCGCTGAATATTGGTAGTTCCACTGGACTTATACCCCTACAAAAGCGATGGCTGGATGGGAGTTTCTGAAACTTCCCTTAAAAAGGCCTTCCACGAAAGCATCACATCCTCTAGCTCAGAAGCAGATAGCACTTCGCCTAAATTCAAATAATAATTCTACCAGAAGGGTCGAAATCTATCTTTCACCGCAGATCAATGCACAAATCCGTTGACTGGCTTAAAACAAACTACTAGCCATTATTAAGTTTAATGAATAGATATTGCAAGTTATCATTGCAACTAAATATATAAGAATATTATACAGAATTAGACAGTATCATATAAATTGTAAAACACAGTAGAGATACCTGCCTATGCCTTGGTGGAAGACTTTCTAACAGAAACTGACTCCTATTTATACGCTACACTCTAAGAAAATCAGGAAAATTGTCCTCAGCTGTTAACCCTTTCAGCGCCAGGAAGAGAATCCGAAATAAATTTCTCTCTGTTCGGTGGTTTTAATCATTCGGCCACTATTCGATCTGAATATGAGAAAGGAAGAGGCTGTATTGCCCCCTAAAGCCAAAGTTATATCACAAATTGTTACTTCATTTAACAGCGTGTACTGTCTTTTTCGTAAATGCAAACATTGGGCTAATCTTTGGAATATGGTAACAGGTAGTTTGGCGACATTTTGGTAAGGCGATAAAAGTTACTAGCTAGGACTTTAGCAGTGTACATGGATAAAGTCAAGAGTGTGCACAATGCCATTTTTGGGCAATTCTGGGATGTTTTTCTAAGTGAAAATAGGTCGACGTGTACGTGGATGATACCGTATACGTGCAGTTCTTAAAAACGCGGCAAGCAGTGGGCGGTTCTGCACTTTCTCTCAATTTCGCACCTAATCTTAGTCATGATTAAGCATTTTTGTTCCATAAAAGTTCTAGTATAAGCGTAATTCGGCTAGCAGATTGTTGGAAAAAATGTTGAGAAAAAAAAAAGCCTTTACTTCGTGAAAACAAAATGGCGTCCAAAACAAAACTAGCAGGTTGCTGTAGCAGGGTTGGTCGCCAAATTTTCGCCAAAGAATCGCCAAGTTACCATAATCCAAAGATTAACCAAACATTGTTTACCAGTTAAAAACAAATCAAAATGTTTAAATCACATGAGTTAGGTACGGAATAAGAGGTAAGTTTCCCTTTAAAATCATTCCTCCAACCAGTTATCTTCCCTTTAGGCAGGTTGTTTCCTTGTACTTTGTCATGTATAGCAAATGCAAAGGCGCACACAATTGGTTTTTACTTCCTTGTATGAAATAAAGTATTGTAATCGCGAAAAATTTCGGGTATTATCCTCAATGAAAATATCCATTTTGACCGCTCTCAAATCCATATAAACAATGTTTTCGCGTGACATCTATATGTACGGACAGAATAAAGGTCTCTTTTTCCCAAAATGGATTTAAAAGAGTTTTTTTTTTCCGTGACGTCGATACGTACGTATGTATGTATCTCGCATATCCCAAAAACGGGTAGCCTCAGAATGTTGAAATTTTGCATATGGGACTGCTATAACATGCAGTTGTGCATCTCGATTTTTGGATTCAATCGGCAGCACCAAAAGTATATGAACATATATACACCCACTCTGTCACTCAGCGTTCTGATGAGCTCAATTTTTTTTATTCCTATATGCTTATAAATTGGGCATTTTTTGCTTTAAAAGTAATTGAATTATATTGTTTTTATGTTCTGGTTCAGGTTTATATGCCTTTAGTTAACCTGCATTCAATAGTTGTAGAATAATCAACAATTTAAAAGTTGTTTAAGTACGACCAAGCTTAACGGAGCAGCCATTTGTTTACATTTGAAACTTGTAAGAACAATGAACTAAGCCAAGTTTCTGCACCTTTAGTGTCTTTTTGCCGAGTGGCACCAAACGTAAACTTCGAATTTTGTGCACCGAAAAACCTGCCTTGTTGCCCGCTGGCCGAATTTGCTTGTTTTTGCATAGAAATCGCAGTTTTAATTGGGAAAAAAATTGTTTTCTAACTGTTTTAACTGTATTTGTTATTTTATGTTTTCCTATATTTTTTTGAATTTTTAATTAAGATGTTTTGAGTTTTCGTGTATTTATGCTTTGCCGCGAAATGAGAACTGAATTTACTGAATGAGAAAGATACCTCTAATGAAATTCGTGGAAATCAGTTTAAACGAAATGCAGCAAAAAATGTGTATAATTTAATAGGCCGTATGAGGAAGTCATATCCTTGTGCGGATCGGTCCACATCAGATTTTTCTACTTGATTACGGAGACGTATACAATGGTGTCCACCAAAGGAAAGGATACTTCAGTGGAGGACTTTGAAATGGAAACTGTTTCGCATTCACGTTACACACAAGAAAAACCACGAAAATGCTCATGCAGCCATCCCATTCGCCGGAATAATACAAGATTTAGGGAAATTTTAACCAAGTAAGGATTAAGTCTTCAAAATACTACACATGGTTAGTATTAAGTTAAAAAAAAAATAATAAAAACCGGGGTTCTGAACATTTTTTGCTTTGTGCACCTCTTTCACCACTGCTAGTCGATCATTCCCCTCCTCTTCATTCCAAAACTCTAAAAATACATTTAATTTAGATTATTTTTTAATGTGTTGTAGGAATTAAACAACAAAATCATATAAAATGTTAATAATACCAAAACTTGAATAAAATTTGTGTTAACTACTAAAAAACCAATATTTATCAAGTAAATAAACTAGTATTTATCAGGTAAATAAAAGGCTGGCCGCATTCACCCCCCTAAGAAAATTTTATAAAATTTTTTTCCCCTATTTGAGATCTCCTAGTCTAAGAAGTCTCAGAAGACCAGCAGCTTATTTTCTAGGCAAGATAAAGCAGGTAAAAATAAGAAATAAATATATAACATAAGCTCAGCCCATATCCTTTTGCCCGTAAAACGTTAAGCATCATACTCGCTTCAAACACAAAATTCAAATGAATGCGTAAAATTGCTTCGACAGCTGCACGCGGTCCACAAGACCGTTGGTCGTTGGTCTTAGCCACTCGGTCATTGGTGCACCAAAGATAATTATGAATTAAGATATTTAATTGGCCAATCGTGATTGGAAGTGAATGTAAAGACAGTATTTTAGAATTCTATAATGTTGTTTTTTCCATATGCAAAACTGTAATCCTTATTAAGCATAAATAAAAATTCTTATGCAAGATATTTGCCTATCAAGCATTCTTCAAGAATGCCCTGACCACCAACGACCGAGGGGCAAAATCACTTAATATTGGTTAGTTAGACCAGAGATGAAATTCTGGTGAGTAGTCTGACTGCATGAAGTTTTCGCAATTTTCCTCGTGTATAACATGAGTACACGCCATTCCTCTTTAGAAATTTGTCCTCCCTCTTCTTAGCAGATAGTTCTCAAATGTTTGAACGTAATCTAAATAACCCAGTCCATCGGAAATGGCCAAACCCATTGATCATTTCAACGCCGAAAACGCTGCCCAAGATGCAGCCAGTTAGAGTTAGCCATATGTTACACCTATAAAGAGGAGGGAGGAACAAGAGATCAAGCTAAACATTACGCTGAAATAAAAACCACATTTTCTGTTAAGGTTAGGAGTCAGCTGCACTAACAACAGTGTGGTTCAAGGCTGCGTAATGAGAATTCAATCTATGCTCAATATTGCAGCATGTTATATTTTGAAACAAGGTATAAACATAGAATAATTTACACAAAGTCTATTAGTCATATACAAGCTTAGTACTTCACTTTCTGCTAGAAACTGGATTGTTTATTATAGTTTATTAACCCCTTAACTGCCGCGGACGTATATATACGCCTTGCTCAGCCGATGCGTTAACTGCCCCAGATGCGCCCAGATGCGCAGCCGATGCGTTAACTTTGCGAATAATTTTAGGTGTATCAGCGCAAAGCAAATGATAGCAGTTTGGAAGGACGTAATATACGCCTGGGGCAGTTAACGCTCGGCTGAGCAGGCGTATATATACGCCCGCGCAGTTAAGGGGTTAAATAAGGGATCAATCGAGGTTGAGGCAAAAATTTATGTAGATTGTAGATTTTTGTATGAGGCAAAATTATATATATATGAGGCAAAAATTATGAAATCAATCGATGTATGAGGCAAAAATTTATTCGAATATTCTTATGGCAATTTTTTTTGAATAAATACAAACGCTTTACGTTTAATTTTCATAAAAATTTTAATAATAATTTAAAAGGTTCTTATTCTCTAAAAATTCTTATAGTCATCTACATGTAAAAACGAAATTCATTTTTTGTTTTAATGACATTCTTAAGCTATATTTTTAATTATAAACTTAAAATATAAATAAAAAATAAAATTAAAGTAATTATTTGTGAAATATAAAAAGCTAAATAACAATTTCATAAATAAGATAACAGACTTACGTAATTCTTAAAGTTTGCTAAATACTTTCAGTATTACATATAGAACAATACTCAGTATCTGCTGGATTTATAAAGTAAACAGTTATCTGTACATTACTTGGAATTTCAGAATTTTCGATAAAAATTATTTTACAAAATTTCAACAAATGGAAAGAAATATTACTGCACAATTAGTATACAGCTCTTTATATGTACACTTGGTTTAAAGTTATATTTTCTTCTTCAAACAATTCGCCTCATCTTGAGCATCATAACAGTCCACGTGACCATCGCAGACTCTTTCTACCCGAAGACAGTTTCCTCCACCTACAGCAGCGCATGTCCATCCAGGGCATGATGATAAAGGAGGATTCTTGTTATCCGGCATCATCATAATTTTCTGAATCCAGTCTAGAAAGTACACAACTCTTGTATACATGCCTGGCGTCTTAGGCCTAGCACAACCTGTGCCGGCGCTAATGACACCAGCTATATACCACGACAAACCATCTTCTTGCAGGCACATCAGAGGTCCACCGCTGTCTCCTTGGCAAGCATCTCGTCCGCCTTCAACGAACCCAGCACACATCCAACGATCCATATTCTTCCTACAAGATTCGGTTAGAGGAACAGTGACCTCCAAGAGATCATCGGAATCATCATCCGATTCTCCAGTGTCTCCCCAGCCAATGGCCGTGCAAATGGATCCAGAAGTTTCGATCCTCCGAGGGTCAGGAAGGCATATCGGCCGCACCCAGAAATCAAAAACAACTGGTTCAGCAATTCTTAACATTACTATATCAAAATCCAAAGTAACAATGTTGAATTTGTGATGTGGTACCACCTTATCGATTCGATAGGTCTTTTGATGTGGTGTGAAAGATCTTCGTCGCAGCATGCCCAGTTGGACTTCGTAGTAATTGTTTGTATAACTGAGAAAGCAATGGGCTGCTGATATTAACCAGTTCTTGGTAATAAGAGTTGCACCACAAGCATAAGTACCATTCTTGTAGATTGCACCGTGCCAAGGCCATGCTCCTGGCTCAGAGAGCTCCCCACCAACTATCCTTCCTTGAGGACGTCGGGGCAGCAAGTGCTTTGGATTAAATCCACACCGAACGTCATCACAAGATACGAAGATGCCCTTGTCAGTCAAACATCCATTCCACTGTACAAATCTACCTAAATAATGGTAGACATAATCGCCTTTGTATACGTCTGGTTGTCGATCAAAACTTTTGAACTGATGTGTGCTGCCAGCGAGAGGATTAGCAGTGATGCTGACGCAGGCGAAAGAGGCCAAGGCATCTTGCATGAAATCCCGAGGATTGGCACACACAGGATACCAAACGCCTTTCCTGTTCCTCAAAAGAAAACCGGTTTTAGATACTTCAACGATTTTAGTTGAATCTGCAGGATCAGGACTGTCCGCATTTGCGATTGCTATATTCGATGACAACCTGAAAGAATGAACAAAAACCAGCAGAGATTAACAGAAATAAAAAATACATTTGCAGAAATGTTGCAGATCCTCTATTTTTTCCCTTAAAAGGAAAATCATCTATTATTTAACCAAGTTAAAAGAAACTACACAAAATACTGTTATGGCGTTTATATTAACACTAGTGCTAGATGGAACACCAAAGATACATGGATATACAGGGTTCCCACTAATGCCCGGTACTATCCGTTTAACTGGCGAACGGCTGCAGCTATATTCATAAAACTGGTGTCTAGATATAGTAAAGTGGCTATGCGCTACTTAACGAGATAGCTTACAGCGCCGCCTAGTGAAAAACGGCCGAATTAGCCTCCCTATCTCGGAAATGATACGAGATAGGAAGAAAGTGAATTACAAAGTTGGAGAGTATCGTCGATTTATTACGAATAGACAGATTGTGAACATGAATGCTAAAAACGAACGTTTAAAACACACATTTGTTTCATCGCGATTTTCGAAACTGTGACATCACAAAACTTGAACGAAGAGAGAGATTATCTTTCGGATGAAAAACATGCTCGTATCGTGGCAAAGTAATGTCGCTTGTAATTCACAACCGAAAGGACTGTGGTTCAAATCCCCGTGGGGTGCATCCTTGTACTGATTGTCTTTACAAACAGAGTAGACAACATACATATCGGGCACAATCGTGTCGCAAAACGCAAGTTGAGCTTGATGTGCGAATTTGTGCATTATGCAAATAGTGTATGAAACGTCGCACCTGTTCACCAGAGACAGCAGTAAAAGAGATCTTCTCGTGGTTGTATGTTGGAGCTCATGGTCATGGAGTGATTTTCAAAAAATGATTATTGTGAGATGGTTCTACATATGGTGAACGTGAGCGTAAGGAACGATCGGCAGAACGGTTGCATCGACAACGTTTTCTTGCAGGTCCGCATCCTTCATACAAAACCATCTTACAGGTTCTGAAACGTTTAGGGAAACAGGCTGCGTAACTAGCCGACTTCGATCCGGCAGACCAGCTAAGGCAGGGCGGAAGGTGCAACCGAAAGATGTCTTATCACGGCCTCACACATCCAAACAGTGGCACAAGAGAGATAAGTGAAATCTCAAAAAGTCGCTTTTGGAAAATTCTAAATGAATTAAGTACTCATCCATACCAACACCTTAATGAGGCATTACTGGACGGGGATGCCTAGAGACGTTTCGCGTGGTGCAACTTCGTCATAAACCAGGTAAAGGTCCAGCCAACATTCTTGGCAGAAAAAATCATGTTCTGCCGACGTTTGACGTCAAATATACGACTTCCGATTAATGCTTGGTGCGGAATTTATAATAACAGGCTAGTCGGCTCAATATTCTACCAAGGTACGTTAATGGCCGCACAATACTTAGAACTTCTGAAAGGCATAATACCGGATTTTATTAAGAACCTGTCGTTGTTTCAACTCCTGAATGGATGGTTCCAATGCGACGTAGCAAGTGAAGCAGTACCTGATGGAGGAATTCGGAGAACAAATAATCGGGTACGGTGGTTTCGAAGAGTGGCTTCCACATTCTCCTAACCAGACTCAATGGACTTTTTGTTATGTGGATACCTCAAACAGTAGGTGTATGTTACTCCTCCACAAACATCGCAGGACCTTCAGCGACGTATTACAGATGCTTGTGCAAGCGTGTCACGCGCTATGCAACGACATGCAACGTGAAGTTCTAACAAGGGTCTAGATTTGCATTTCAGCTGATGGAGATATCGAAAATAAAGGTAGCTTGTGATAACTAATCACGGTTTGGGAAATATCGAACAAACAAATGCGCGTTTAAAACGTTCAGTTCTTAACATTCATATCCACGAGGTGTCTTTTCGTACTAAATCAACGATACTGTACAACTTTAATTCACTTTTCCTTCCTATCTAATATTATATGTAATTTAAGCAAGAGAAAAGGGGCAGGATTATCTACAGCTCACTGATATGGTCTGGCTTAACAGCGTTATGCTTTTTACAGATTTTACACAATACTTCAATGTGCAGAACAAGCAACTGCAAGGCTTGGGAAAAACGTCAGAAAGGATGTTTTGAGATATTAAAGCATTTGAAAGAAAACTGCATGTTTTTGAAAGAGATCTTGCAAGCGGGTAGCTGAAATATTTTCCAAATCTAAAGATTCATCTAGAAAATTCTACACGCTTTGCACACAATCCTTCAAGTCCTGAAGATATCTACAAGGAATTTTCAAGCATCGTAGCAGCTGCAAAGGAGAATTTTAATGACACATTTCTACAGTTCCGCCAAATGGAAACAACCATGTGTTTTCTTACTTCTCCAGATAAATTTAAGTTTGAAGAAATTGATCTTTCTTGCTTGCAATGGTTAGAGCTTGAAAATCTGAAAATGGAACTATTGGAATTTCAAGAAAGCTTTGCGTAGAAAAGAAAGTTTTCAGATCTGCGTGCAACATTTGAGAAGATGAAGTGTAAAGAGATCATACAGGACAGCTTAATTGATAGTTAGGAAAATGAAATCCTTAAAGCGTGGAATTCTCTGCCAAATAAGTTTAGATTTCATTTTGGGAAAACGGGCAACGTACAAAAAAGAAGATAGGTTGAAAGCCATCGCACTAGACAACTTCCAACGCTTCTGAAAAGATTAGAAACTGGAAGCTGTATCCCCAACAATGGGCTCCCTTTCCAAAGAACATACTATGAAGGAAATTTATATCACTGCAGAGTTTTCTCGAAGTAATATCTTTAATTTTCTGCCACGCTTCCCAGTTGCCTGTACCTTCACAGGAAATACGAGAAAAAGATACAGTGGACGGACAAAAATATGGAAACACCTTGTGAAATGCATGTTTGAAAAGAAAGTTTGATTTTAATGAAATATGTAGGTGGCGCTGGCGTTTTTGACTACTGACGCCACCTATATAACTTCGTAAATGTGCTAAACAGTTCAGTTGTTGTCGGAGTACTGTTATGTGAGGTTGTCATTGCATTATGTCAGAGTTAACAGACTTCGAACGTGGGCAAATTGTTGGAGCACGTATGGTAGGTGCTTCCGTAAGCAAGGTAGCCGAGGTGTTTAGTGTTTCAAGAGTACTGTATCGAAGATTTATTCCGCATATATGAAAAGCGGAAAAACATCTGCTAAATCACAGCGCGGACGAAAGTGTGTCCTGAGTAATCGTGACAGACCATCATTAAGGGCAATTGTGACGAAAAATAAGAAGACCACAGCTGCAAAAGTTACTGCTGAAATGAATGTTGTGTTACCGAACCCTGTGAGTACCAAAACAATTAGAAGGGAGCTTCATAACAGGGAATTGCTGGCCGTGGTGCAATTGAGAACCACTCATCAGTGATGCTAATGCCCGTAACAGGAAAAGGTGGTGTTTAAGTCATAAAGCCTGGACTATAGAGCAGTGGAAGCGAGTAATATATGGTCTGACGAGTCTTCTTTCACATTGTTTCCCACTTTTGGCCGAGTTTACGTCTGGAGAACGCCATCTCAAGCCTATCATACAGACTGCTTGTTGCCAAGAGTGAAACATGGCGGGGGTTCTGTTATGGTTTGGGCAGCCATATCGTGGTTCTCTGCTAGCCCCACGATAACTGTGTCAGGGCACATGACTGCCAAGACTTATGTGAACATTTTGGCCGATCAAGTTCATCCCATGGTACAAACTTTGTTCCCCGATGGTGATGGTGTCTTCCAAGACGACGAAGCCCCTGTTCACACAACTCACATTGTCCAGGACTGGTTTTCTGAGCACGAGGATGAGTTGTCCCATCTCCCCTGGCTACCACAGTCACCAGACCTGAATATTATCGAACCTTTGTGGTCTACAGTGGAACGGAAAGTGCGTTCTCGTTATCCACCGCCAACATCGTTATCTGAACTTGCCACCGTTTAGCAGGAAGAATGGTATAATATTCCCTTGGCAAACATACAGGAACTGTATTTATTCATTCCGAGAAGACTGCAATCTGTTTTGGATGCCAACGTGTTTCCTACACCATATTAAGCAAAGAAACATGTTTTTTAAAGGTGTTTCCATATTTTTGTCCAACCCCTGTATGTCAAAATTTATACATTGTCTCTTTTTAGTGTAGAGATACGAAAGGGTATAAATGACTTGAGAAATTAAGCGAAACATTCGGAATTAAAGAAAATGCGCAGATTTCTTAAAATGTACCAATCATTTTTCTGAAGCTACAGAAAAATTAGAAGTCACTCACCTGAAGCAGAAGTTTTCATCCATGAAATTATTACAGTCGATAGCAGAATCGCACACTTTATTCCTAGGTATGCACTTTCCATCTCCGCAATTAAAAGATCCTTCTGGACAATAAGAACAAAAGCTTTCATCACTCTCATCGAAGCAATCTGGGTACTTGTCGCAGAACTTGATTGGTGGCATACGGAAAGCACACACGCAGTTCAGTTCGTCTTCCGCTTTCGGACAATCCACCGTCCCGTCACACCTTTTCTCTAGAGGCAGACACTTTCTGGATGAATTGCAAGCGAAGTGGTGTTTGGGGCAGCTGAAGGGATTGGGAACTGTCCCGACGATTGTCTTCGAAGTGGAATTCGAATATGCATTTCTGTTGAAAGGGAAAGAGATGGTAATACCGCTTTCGATACCCTGCTTAATAGGTTCGGCTTTGGAATATAAAATACTGTCCTGTCCGTTTGCTTTACCGAAGTAAATTGCCAAAGCTATCACTCCAGTAACCAGGAGCCCCATAACAGCTGCTAAGATAGCACAACGCCAAGGAATTCTCGCACTGCATAAATGTTGCTGGAAAATCATTTGGACTTTCGTCCCCACATGCGCTCCCTTTTTTTCAGCTAAAAAGGAAAATATTGGTGAATTTTGAGCCTATAAGAATTTAGGTTATTAAAGAATACATACGAAATAAAAAATACAAGGTTATCGACAAAGAAGAACCTTATTTCAAATCACTATACTGTGTAATTCAGTGTTCTCGGTTTTCATACCAAAATAATTAGATTGTTTAATTATGGCAAAGCACACGACGGCTATCTGTCTAAGGGAAGTGATACCTTCATGGAGGACTTTCTAAAGAAACCGACTAGTATACATGTTACACATAGGGGAAAACCATGAAAACACCCATGCAGCGTGCTTGTTTGCCACGATTTAACCCTTTCAGGGGCGCAATGTTATGATTTTTTTAAAAGTTATGAAAAAGTAAGCATAATGACATGCATTGGTCCTATAGACAACATAAATGAGTTAAAAAAAATATTTTGGAAAGGGGACCGGTTTCGCCTTGAAACCAGCGCCCGTCTAGAGCATTTAAGACTAAACATTTGCTTATTTATCTTTACTTTGCTGAAAAGTATCTGAACGTAACCCAAATTGCAGATTATACTAGTAAATAACTGAACAACTAATGAAGTAAGTAATATTTGCATAAACACGCATTTTTAATTATAAATAAAAAATTTAAAACAGGAAACAAAAAAGTATGAGACTAAAAGTAACTAATAATGCACTAAATTACTTGCATTAAACTATGAAATATTTTAAAAAATTATGTTTAAAACTAAGAAAATTATATGTAAAAATAAAATAAATTAAGATGCATACAATTATTTTACTATGAGCTAGAAGCATGAGAAAAGCGACCGCTAAGAGAATCATAATAAAAACGCAACTGTGTTTTTCAGTGTGCTCTGTGTCTCTAAAAAATAAGAAATGTTTTCCCCTCTCTCAAAAGCTCCATAAATCCTCATCTTTGAAGCAACTCAAATGAAGATATTGTGCAACTGTTTACAGCAGTGATCCGAAAGCAATAAACACAACTGCAAAAAATCTCGCGACTGCGTCATCTGATCCTTTCTTCGATGTCCCAGAGGGGCGGTGGTTTCATACTGAAACCGCAATGAAAACATTCAAAAATAAAAGTTTTTTTTTTTTTTTTTTTTTTTTTGTGGTGTGTGTGTGTGTGTGTGTGTGTGTGTGAACTAAGGACATTTCATTACTCATTGATGCCTGCTTATAAAATATATTGTGGAAAAATTAAAAATTTTTGGGTTTTTTGTTTTTAAAATGGGTCAAAAAGAGTAGTGTGCAAAAGAAGCTATTTTTGAATGATTCGTATCAATTAATGGATGCCCAGAAAGGTTTGCTGCTGCCATCTGTTATCAGCTTTAAGAAGTAATTTAATTTTAGCAGCGATTTTGAGAAAAAAAAATTTTCTAAATTTAAAAAAAATGTTGAAAATGCGGTTTCAAGGCGAAACCGCCGTCCCTGAAACGGTTTAACCCCGAACCGAACTACTAGTTTTCAGCAACTTTACCGCTAGGCAGCTGATGAGCCCAAAATAATTAGAAATTGCTAATATAAGTATAATAATGTAACTAACTAACCCATATATTTTCATGAGCTAATGTAATTTCACTTAGCCACTTACATTGCGCGCATGATGTGTAAAGAATAATATGTATATCAAGAATTAGTTGCCCAGCAGTAAATTATATCTTGTCTTCGACAACGTCTCGTCATAAGTATCATCTTTGTATCTATGAAAAAAAGCTTCTCTAGGTTGCTACAACTTCTCCAGCTTTAGTATATTGCAGCTATCGCACAATCAACAAGAGATTACAGTTATATTACTCATTGAAACCTAAATGCTGTGCCCTTGAGGAAAATCATTTTCTTCCTCATTGAAAAAGCATGTATTGTATATATTGTACAGAATTTAAACTACATTCTCTAACGTTCTAACGATTTTTCTAAAAAGGCTATTCTATCACCACCAAGCATTTTTCTCTTTGAAGGTGGGAACATGCAAAATATAAAATATGAAAACAAAAAGCAAACCTTTAATTTTAATTTGACTACTTTCCTTTCCTGTTGTAAAACTAGTAAGTATTCGTAACATACCAATCTAAAGCGTGTTATTTCAAAGTGGATTGGATTGGATTGGATTGGATTATTGTAATTTGGCACAAAACCTGTCAAGGTTATCTGCTCCAGACAAATGGTAACAATGCAATTAGTCATTTGTAAAAACTTCCAGCTTAGGTAAAAAGAGACAGATTACAATCTATGATAAAAGCTGATATCTTTTAAAAAACAGGTTAAAGTCTATTATACAAGCCAATATCTTTTAAAAACAGAAACAAATTACGATGATGTGTTTTTCCAATTAAATTTCCTAAGTCCAATTCTGAACAATTAAAATGTTTTTGGCGAAAATAATTAAAACTCTGGCATTCCACCAAGATGTGATGGACTGTCAGATCTGCATTGCAGTTTGGGCAGCTGGGATTCTCTTCTCCCTTCAGAAGATACTCGTGGGTCAGGCGACAATGGCCAATTCTCAGTCGAGTCAAGAGGACATCCTCCCTTCTATTAGCCATACATGGCCAGTATCCAATGGTGGGTTTTACATTTCTCAGCTTGTTATATACTTTGCCATCCCATTGCTTGTGCCATTTGCTGAGAATTTTGCTTTTGACAAACCCTTTGATGTCTGCTAGTGGAATCTGAAGATTGTACATTGTGGTTGCAGTTTTAGCTGCAATATCCGCCAATTCATTCCCCTTAATGGCAACGTGTCCAGGGATTATTTCAAAGTGATCCCTCTTCCTTGAAACACAAAAAAAGCTTAGCGATAAAGAAGTCTGAGAGAAAATGCAATACAGTAGCAAACCAAATTATAATATAATCATAAAAATATAAATTTGATGTACAATTTTCAAACAAATTATAAATTTTGGATCTAATCTTTTAAATAATTACAAAATTTTGAATACACATTTCTGACAATAAACGGAAACTTTAAAGTCCTGTTGGAATTCTTCCAATTTTAAAAGTTTGCAAGTTCTTTTTTTCTCAAAATATACGAGTTTAAAGGTCTTCAGATTTTTTTTTTTTCCAAATACCATAAATATTGTCCTTAAATTTTTCAAGAAGGTAAAAGTTCTTGAAAGTCCTTGAAGTAGCATATATATGCAAAGGTAAAGAACATTAAAGATAAAATACCTGACTTTAATTTGTAACATCCCTTTAAAACTTTTTAATTTTGCCATTTTCTCTTTCACTAAAAATAGTAACAGGCTTATAATAAAAATTCCTTTTAGCCAATCATAATGATAAAAATTTGTTATCAAAAGTTCTGAACGAAGCATAAGGGAAAAAAAACCATGATTTCACTTTTCTTAATTTAGCATCCGTATTATCTTTGCTTTCTTTTCACAGTTTCCTGTGCTTCTTAAAATGGCCAACGATTATCTTTCTTACTCTTTGAATTGCTGCAAAACACACATGTAATAACTGAAGAATGGGTGCGAATGCTTCAGTTTAGCTGTGTATGCTATTCAAGAATGCCATGCCAAAACAAAGAACTGTATAACCTTCCAATGACGGCGGTTATACCTTTAAGCACCATCACCAGCTCTACGTCACCACTAAAAATTTCCATTTTATGCATGAAAAAAAAATGGATTAGACGAAGATACTACATCGAACGGTAAACAATACGGAATTTTACATGGCTCATTTGGCATCTATAAATTAATTTTTGTATGACTTAGAGGCGGTGATTGATTCGATTTCACGGCATGCAACCAGTTTTCCAATAACAGAATACTTCCTCTCAAGGAAATAATACATCTTTCGACTATAAGTATGAAATGTTTAATGAAAACTCGAATACCTTAACGATGAATACCAAGGATCACGCTGTTAAGAAAGAGGAAATAAATCTCAATTATCAACAGCGATGTATTCTAACGCAGTTTTCTTTGCAATTAGCATACCATTTTTTTTTTCTCATTATTTTAACGTTTCTGACAGATACAAGTCATTTATTTCTAGGATGCAATTTCGATTGATAGATCGTTTTCCCGAGCATTCCGTTACTCATCAGTAATATTATCTGGTTTTTTTTTTAATTCAGTTTCTTCTTTTGAACATCATTAAATTACTTTGAAAGTGAAAACAAGAAAACAGAAGAAGGAACGAAAAAATATCAGAGACATATTAGCACATCTTTAATTTTATTTTCCCTCCTCAAGGGAAATCCGAAACCGTTGATTGTTATGCTGCCATCAACCTAATAGCTTTAACACAGTTATCATGCTAGTAAGGAACATTGGTGTGGAAAGATAGGTGCCGCCAAAAAGGGGAAAATCAAAAGTAGTCTTGAGAATGAGATAAAAAATTTGATAATACAAGAGACTATACAGGATGTGTTAGTACAATAGTGACAAACTTTCAAGAGAGATAGAGTATACTTATACGATGGGAAATCACATAGCAATTGCATGGTCGGAAACGCTTTCCTGGCGCGATAGCGACGACACAATACGAAAAAAAAAAAAAAAGGGAAGGACACAAACAGTGAGACAAAACGTGTTTTATTATATTTAGTACAGCAGAAACCAACAAATAACAAAACAAAACAAAACAAAAAAAAAAAAAAAAAAAGATCTTTATTAAAAAAGGTTTTTTAAATTACAACCCCGGACCGAGATCTCCGTCGCATGGAAGATCGCCTTATGCCCCTTACGCCCTCGTCTGAACGGGGCCTAAGACGCATAACGCACGTTTCATGCATCACGGTCCGAGTCGAAATTTAGAACACCTTCTTTGATGACGATCGTTGTCCCTTTATGTTGTTTTTTTCCTTTGCTTTTGCTGTTCTCCGAATAATAAACATGTTTTCTCACCCCGTTCGTGTCCTTTCATTTTTGATTTTTGGGTCGTCACTACAGCGCCAGAAAAAGAGTTCCGACCATGCATTGCTATGTGATTTCCCATCGTCTAACGTCTATTCCACCTCTCCTGAAAGTTTTACCACCGCTGTACTGAT